TATATAGTCCTAGAATTCCGGGAGAAATAGAAATCAAGTTGTTTTTACTGAGTTATCTTTTACTTTAATTACATACACTTCGCCTGTCACAGGTCAGGCTCCCAGTTACCTGACAATATAGGACAAATGGCATGGCTGTTCATTTGGGAGCACACATTGGTTTTTTTTGTTTTGTTTTGTTCATTTAACGTGCTAGGTTACATGACTACCGTTGCACTCCTATTGGAGCTTAAGCACGTGTGGGGTTGGGCCGGATCAGGTTAACTACCGTGAAGTACAGATAAACCTCGTCCCACTTTAATGACCGGACCACCTCAGACTTCACCTATGTGTTGAATCATACCAAGCCTAACCGTCCAGAAACCCGCTGTATACACGCCGTAGCGCGATTTCCTCCTCAGCCTCGGCCACCACGCGCCCGAGCCCTTGACATCCTCATTGACTCTGAAATATAAATGCCGTCCAAGATCTCATCGTTGCTCTAGCCTTGCACCTTCATATCGTACCGTCGGGTTGTTGCCGTCATTGGGGATTTGTGTAATCCCCTCGGTGCATCTTCCCTCTTCTTCCTCCTTTGTACACGTCCCGTTTCCATCATGACTTTCCTCATTAGGGCGTGTGTAGGTAGGTGATCGGACGGGTATGGAGGTAGGTCGCAGGTGTAGGATCGATTGAGAAATGCTTCGTCGCAAGTATAAAAGGAGTTTAAGGGATGTCGGATGTTTGAATACGACCCCTAGACAGACCTAAATCCATTCGTGAATCGTATGTTAGCGGTGATGAGTTTTTGTTCAACTCTGTTCCGGCTGTGAAATCTCTGTCGACTGATTTATCGACCAAAATATCGAGTGCAACTCCTTCAAGTCGAAAATCCATCAAAAAAAATTCATCCCATCCTTTTTCGTGTGAATCTCGGCTCTGGGAGAATATTTCACTCCCAGGTTCGTAGAGGACACTGCGTACTGGTTTTAAGTCTTGCCATCCAGTCATAGACTTTATAGGACAATAAACACAAACATTCATTCGATGCAGTTCCTGGAAAGTGCTCTTAAACTAAGAATAATATGCGCGCCATGCATGGGACTTAACTCGTGTTTATACAGAAGAAAAGTACCCGGGGTCTATAGTCCAAGCTGTCCATGTAGCTACCAATCGTAGAACCCCAAGCACATAATTATGTCCTGCCCTCGATGGTCAAATGGAAGAGGAGAGATCTGGAGACAAGCGAAAGATCGGTCCTACGAAGCTATGCTAAGTAATCCTGGAGATATCAAAAGGATAACACAGTGGATACTAAATCATGGTTGGATAGAGCAATTCCAGATGACAAAGGTGGTCTAAATGCTGTTGAGAGAAAGGAACAGGTCATGCCTTTCTTGAGGTCGATAGAGCTGATGTGATTGGGTTATATATAGTGCAGCTGACACTATAAACACAAGTGAACGATGGAAGGTGTCGTGGTCCGCCTCCTGGTGGTGTTCTCTGGTATAGTTTGAGTAGCCTGGGCACCTACTCCACTTGGGAAGGAGACATCTCAGATTACATTTGGCGCGGAGGAAAGTTGAAAGATGATGGAGGCATATCTGGATAACTCAGGGTTTTTGAGACGTTCCCCTGAGTGGGTATTCACGGATGAGGGTTGACTTGGAGTGAAGAAAAAGCCACCATAACTTCGTAGTGGTACTTGCAAATGAAATCCGATGCATGAGTGCTTCTCTTGTAAATTAAGTCATCTTTTCTGTACTTTTCTCTGATATTGTGTCATAGCTAGATAGCTGCATACGCAATTAAAATCTGATGCAAAAAAAAAAATAAGGCTCGACTGTTCTAGCTAAGCAAATATACCTCGTAGTGGTATCTGCTAATGAAATTCAGAAAACGAGTGTCTTAAAAGTCCAAATAATCATCTTATGTACATTATGCCCTTGTCATTTTTCACAGTCATAGAGCTGAACACACACTTAATGATTAGAAAAAGGCAAGTGGAATCTGTTTAGATAATGTCAGAGGGTATACATGGATCTCACGTGCTAACCATTGATAATGCAGGTATCGCTAATGAGTGAAGAGTTCGTGAGAGATGAATTACCACTAGTGCCTACAATTTGAAGATCATTTAAATATGCTGTAAATAGGATATGAGATGGAACATAGAAGATGAAATGGACCGTGTTGATAAATGTAATGGAATCTATGTTCTATCTTCTGACACCATCGAAATCAATTAGATTCACCTCCTCCTACTCAGCCTAGTAAGCAACCAGTATCAACGTTCCAAATGGATTCAATATCCTAGCTAAACTGAAGTAGAGAAAGAATATGAGCAAATTTATATGAATGGACGTTTAAAAAACCTTGTTCACACTCAGCCAAAAAAGATTTGAGACATGGCTTACCAGTGCTAACCATTACACTTTATCCATCCTTATCTTTCCATTAAAGTCTGCTCATGGATCGTACCATACTGTTTGGCCCGAGATAAATACGAACTAGCAGACTCTTATCTTAATTAGGGAACGTGATATAGCTATTCAGAGTACTGTGGCGATGATTTCTGACGGTATGCTACAATACATTATAGCCTTCGGTATGACTTTATGAGGATTTAGCGGCCCAAAAGACTAAGTCGACGAAGATTATTTTAATTTGAAAATTGATTTGCGTTACTAGCATGAATGAGGGATAAATGTTACGGGTTTTACCCGGTAGTAGTGGATGGGCTGAGCTACGGGCCAAGCCTTGCATGCAGGTGGGATTCGATAAATATTTCTGCCTGATGCACAAGGCACAAGTATAAGAAAGTGCTTATAAAAGTGGGTCATAAGGACACAATTCATGCTGGTGTAGTCCCACTGAGGTGAACTATTCATGGAAAAATATAGATTGTTTTGTGGCAGCCTTTGCGCGCAGCGTCCGAGATTCGCTACCCTTTGCAAGGAATCCCAGTAGTTTTAACAGGGGACTCGCCAGGAATATGAGAATAGAAAGCATAATACTAAACTTCCAGTCGTGTATGAATGCATCGAATATAATGAAATTTTCAAAAGTATCCTTAGTGTAGAAGATCATCTAGCTCCAAGGCTGAATAAAAGATGGTTAAATTAGCATCAATAAGGATTTTTAGGGTGGTTTCTGAGTGCTTTTGCTGGATCTGCTTCGGTTAAGGTACTTGACACTAATGACTGAATGCCTGTGTAGTTGGTAGGCAATCATCATAGCTGTTTATTTCCTACACTCTGGCTAACAGTTGTTCCTTTTTTTTTTTTTTTGAATCATTTAATGTGTATTCAGCTATCTAGCTATGACACATGACCGGTGCTATGTATACATATTGGATGACTCTTTTGACATTAGAGACACTCATACTCTGTATTTCATTTGCAAATACCACTATGAGGTATGTTTGCTTACACAAACAGTCGACCCTCCTCCGTTAGTACCCACCAAGGGGAATTTAAAAACCTTTAGTTATCCAAGCATGCCTTCGTCATCCATGCATACCAGCGCCGCGAGAAATGTGGTTGTGTTTTGCCGGATTCGAACCAGCGATCTACTGTCTCAAGTGGGATATGTGTCCAAGCTATCCAGACTCTACTTGGCAGACCGGCCAAGATGATGTACCACCGCACCATTCAACCATGGCAGTTTTTATAGTGTCGCCTGCACTCTCGCAGCCGAAGACTTGGTACGCACAAAGCCCAATTTGTAAAAACTCCTTTCCAGATTTCAAAATTCCACGCCCGTCGAGACTGTATCCAATCCTCTGCATCATCTTATTAACTTGTCCTGATCCCTCTCACATCCATCCCAAGGAATTGTCTTCCAGATTTGTGCGCCACGCTTTGCTTCCTCCGTCGGGTGTAAATATCGGCGTGGGCGTGTATCTGGCGACCAGCTAAGGCCAGAAAAAGTCGACAAGAGGTGTGGTCATTGGGATTAGGATGTACTAGGTCGTACTTGTAAACTTGATGAGGTTTAGGTAGGAATCGATTTCGTTGGGAGTGAAAGATTGATATGGTGGAGTAATTTGAATCATTGCCTAGTGGGCCAACTTGTTTGGTATTGCGAAGTTTGACTGAACTTGGCTCTGGGAGAATATTTCACTCCCAGGTTCGTAGAGGACACCGCGTACAGGTGTTCAGTCTTGCCCTCCTAACAGTTGTTCCAATATGCTTTGCTGACACGTTATTGATCTGATGTTTCTAATTTTGTGGACACTAGTACAAATCTAGCAAGGGTCACATACTTTAGCACAGAGGAACACATCTCGGTACCCTACCGCACATCCTCCACTGTTAGCCTATTTTCCAAGCCCCTCAGACTACATTCTCGTCAGTATTCGCGTATTCGGATTGTCGTCCGAAATCATACATGCCACGAATGATGCATGTTGATTCCGCGTTCATTCCTTCTACGAAATTGAGCCATCCCATTACACCCACACCCATTGGTGATGGCTAGCACCTATGAGGGAGAAACAGATACTGTTAAGCCTCCTCTGGCTGACATTGCTATGTTAATCCTGGATTATCTTTTCCAAATCTCTTAAGATAAACTAAATTCGATTGATTTGCGTGGAAGTTGAGAGAGCCTAGGAACATCTTACCCACAAACCTTATTATTATCTAACTTTATGACTTTCATATTTTGGCACACTAAGTCTGATAATACCTAAAATACGAACAGAGCGCTAAATCAGCTAGGTATCGACAAGAGGTGTAGGGAATGTTTGTACACTAGGTTGAAACGCCAAGAGAGGCTTGGGCGCAGTATAGCCGTCGGATGAACTGTTATATTGACTATAGCAAATATGAAACAGAGCTCACAAATTTTCATGCGAATAGATGTCACTCTATGTAGCTTTTACACGCCACAAAAAGTCTAGGCTTTGTATCGTTTACGAGGCTAATGATTGACTAATTCTTATCTCTATGCGTTCATATAGCTGCATAGCATGCTAGGTATAGTTCTTAAAGCTCATTATTTTAAGGGCATTCAAAATGGATGACCTTCCACTTGAAGTATATTTCCATATTTTACAATGTAATAAACTACAGAAAATTTCGTGCAATAACTATAGCATGGAAAGCTAACAAATATTTAGATCTTGATCCCATCGATACGGTGAACCTTCAACAAGTAAACCATTGCCTTCTATTCTCATCTCTCGTCCATTATCTTTTGCGCCAATCATCTATTGTGTACCAATCATCCTCTAATGTTAATGAGGGAAGCAATGTATGTTCTGAAATTAAAGTACCTTCAAAATATGAACTTCAAAATCTCGCCCGTCTCCTTTTATCTGGGAATGAAGAATTCCACTCGAACCTAAATAATTCTCTAGCAGTCGAGAAGCTGAAAAATCGGATTCAAATTCTTGCAAAATGGAGCTTTATTGATCCATTATGGAGGATTACATGGACCGGCGAAGCAAATAACGAAGAAAAAGAGAAAGAAAAGAATTATCTCGGGCCGAATGATATCGAACATACCGTTGAGGCTATTTTAGAGGAAGAGAAATCATGTGCCTCCCAAGTACTCACTTAAGTTTCCGTATCTATGGATAGACATGCTCATTTTGTACTAGGTGAAAGAAATAGGAGAAGATCCCACAGAGTCCACTTCACCTAGCTCTCCAACAGGTAAAAAAGCTTCAGCAATCGAAAATAATATTCAGTGTGTCCCTGAAGATCCACCCCGTAAGCCGACAAGGGCTTTGCCACGAATGCTACCTAGAATCCAATCTAAAATCAGCCTGCCGAGAATTTACTCACCGCGAATATTGGCACAGCCTTCACCGTCTAGCTATTCACCGCGGACCAGATCACCTATGTTCAAGTCGCCGCTAGCCAAATCACCGCAAAACTCATCGCCACATGTTAATTCATTCCGAGCTGCATCGCCACGATTATTTTCTCTCGGAATTTCCTCACCAAAAGCTGTATCATCTCAAACCTCATCACCACGCCTTGCGTCTCCACGATTAATGTCACCCATATTTGTTACACAAAGGAGTTTAACGATGCGTAGACCATCAGATGATAACACTATGAATTTAAAAATAGCCCCGCATAGGGTCCCCACCAGAAGCACTAAAGTTTGCGAAAAATTAATGTTGCTTCCTGATACCAACGAAGAAGCCAACGAACATGATATAAACTATCGAATGCCTTTTGGACAAATGTCTAGAGATGAAGAATCTAGACCGCTGAAAGATGAAGAATGGGATGTTTTGAAGAAGCGTGGAGGTATTCGAGGCAAGAGTTATGCCGAAAGGCTTTCAAAGGCCAAAAGAGCAAAAGAGCTGGCTAGAGTTACGGCATATTGCACAGCTCAGAGTTATTGGTTATCTACAGCTTCTAACTTTATTAGATTTACCCATGGCGCCAGAACAAAGCTTTACGATGATTGTCTATACTCAGTCTATGACTTGCCGTTGTTGTCTGGCAAAAAGCCTTACAAAATTCAGAGTGGTCCATCAATTGATGATTCTAGCAAAAAGGAATTATATGGAGACTACATTGAGCAGAAAGAACGAGGAGACTATCAAGAGGGTTACTTTGAGAATACTGATGAGTACAGTATAAGAAAGTTTGAAGAAAATCCACACAGAAAAAGCAGAGTAGAGTTTCACCAAAGCGGTGAAGAAAAAGGCACACCGCTACAATATCGTCGAAAATACAGTGTTGATCCAGGATCAGTAGACGGAACAAAGCTTGCGGAGTTATTCATCTTTTCATATGGTGTGATCGTATTTTGGAATTTTACTGAACAACAAGAGAAAGATATTCTGGCTGATCTAGCCTTATACGAAAAAGAGAACGCAATTCCAATCGCGTCAAGACCACTGGAACCGGACAACTTTGAGAAAGAAGATTTTCATTTTGAATATAGTCATTTAGTTGATAGACCTCGCGTTTTCAATGACATGATTACTCTACGTAGTGGGGACCATTTAATAAAGTTGACTATTAGTCATGCCATAGCCCAGAGCACTAAGCTCTGTATGTTCGAAGAGTCTATGAATCAAACAATGGCCAATGCTCAGCATGTACCCAAACATCTTGCACTTACTGGAAAACTGGGCATGACAAGATCCCAAATATTTAAAATTCTTGGAACACTTTTCAAAACACGTGTCGAGGTTAATCTTTGTTCGTGCCCTTTCCTTTTTTATACATACCTTAACGTAGACTAACCGTGCTGTAGCATCTAAAATTTTAGACATACCAAACTTCTTCTGGAATTCAGAGCCCACGCTTCATCCTCTCTATACTGCTATTCGAGATTACCTTGAAATTCCGCCTCGAATAAAAATCCTCAACGAGCGCTGTAAGGTCTTTTTAGATTTAGCAGAGATTCTATCAAACAGCATCGCAGGTACCAAGATGGTATTCATTACATGGATAGTGATATTTCTTATAATGATTAGTATTGGGGTAACTGTTACTGAATGCCTAATCCGCGTGACTGTCGTGGATAAATAAGCGAAATTATGAACCACACATCAATCGGCATCAAGAAACATGAACATGTGCATTAATTCGGGATAATTGCTAGCTGTTTATGTTGCTACTAATTTGAAGATCACTTTCAAAAAGAACATTAACATGATGAAAGGAAGATGTCAGCTTAATAATGACTTAGTTTAATTTGTGTGAAAATTTTAGTAACTTCCCAATTTATGTATAAAATAAAAATGTACTTTCAGAAATAATTCCATGACACTTTCCATTTCATAAATCACCTATCACATGTACTAGTACCATAAGACAACACCACTTGTCTGTGGATAATGTACATAGGTAGATGAATGATTTATTCCATATGTCTTGTCATTGATTTTTTCACGTAGCTATCTAGTGGATGGTTTTTATTGTAATTTGTTTGCTAGACCTGGCGGTGTAGCTTATCACAGTTAGAGAGTGTATTCTAGAATGCAGTGGTGGCTCGTTACAGATGCGATTGCGACAATACAATTGAGGGTTGTATGAAAGTTTGGCACTTCTATGGGTCTCAATTGTGTGGAGGTTGATTTAATTATTGATGATAATTGCTTGTTATGTCTATCTACAGAGAATGTGCTACAGTTCTACATGTGCCCGTAATCGCTTAGATTTGGCTAGTGGGCTGTCCCCTCTTTTACTTCGCTTCCGTGTTCCATCACGTGAGATGTAATAACTGCTCACCACAAAGTCCGCAGATTGAACAGCGTTAGATCACAACAGTTTGAAAGTTTACCGCATAGCTGACATAAATCATTTCCAGCTAGAAAAATCACGATTTTAGGGATAAGGACCCAACACCTCTCACCAGTTTCCCAACGAAAATCCAGCTCTCATACAAGATTATGCAGAGCAGAGATTGTGTCCAATGCTAGCCAGAATGGCGTCTTTTTTCGATGTGTCTATGACATTTCTCTTACCTCAAGACAGCACAAGGTGGTTCTACTGAGCTACCTTACAACATAAACTCTCTGTCAAGGATTTCCTAATATTTCAACTTGATCTCCGATATATCTTGAGGCAAAAATGGTGTAGGCAGTTAAATCGAGGCCAGGAGGCTAGAGACTGACTCTCTTGGGTATACACAAGCCTACAGCACGAATCTAGTTAGCCTCTTGGAGTGGTTTGAAAGGAAAGCCATGAGTTAGGGTCTTGTCCTGATGTCGTAATTAGGAAATCCCTGTACCAATTAGTCTCGAGAGTATCCAAATGAAATGTCTAAACCTTGTAACAGGAGCATATAAATCAACTTTCTGCAGGATACTAAAGCTTGAGACCTCAACCTGTCGGAATACTTCAAGTGGACGGGTTTCGTAAAAAGCTTGTTGAAACATTACTGCTATCAATTAATCCCTTCTCTCTAACCCTTCTTGAGGAACAACTATGATATACATCCAAGGCATTTGCTCATTCCCAGCGCTATTCTATATATGGAAACGTTACCCAATCTGGTCACGTGATGCGACATGGAACTATAAGAAGACACAATCCTACCAATGAAATTACATCTCAAGCATAGAACGCTTCAATATGTCGGGATATCTAGAAATTTGCCGGCTCTTGAGAAAATATCTTCTACATTTAGGAAGATCAATGTACAAAAGACCAGAATACAAGATGTACGTGCCCGAACAAAGGCTAAGGACATCGTTGACTAAGAAAAAATTTAGTGGGAGCGATACCAAGGCACGACATAAAATGGCATTAAAAGTAGCAACTTTCCGAGATTGAGCAAGGTATTGGGTAGAGTGAACAGCAATGCATGCCTCTAGTTACCGAGCGACTGCAGACTCTAAAATCTAGACATCAGCGAATATTTTCATAGATAATAAGAGGGGAAGCGCAAGAATGGACTACAGACGAACACCTTTAAGTATTCATAAATACCTCACTAGAGCCCAAAGCAGCACGGCTATTCAGACGAGAAGTGAGCATATCGGGTTCAACTCTTAACTGTATAGAATAAAAGTTTCCAGAGGATAGACAGTCCACGATGTCGATGTGGACATCCGTCCCAAAATATCAAGCACATGGTCATGGCCAGCTCCAACTGATCCAATTGAAGAGGGGAGATATTAAGAGAGCCAGAGACTCGGTCATTCGGAGACATGATGAATAACCCGAATGACGTAGCAAGGATTACAAGGTGGATTAAACATGAAGGAAGATTAGAACAGTTTCGACTGACGCTTGTAGTCAAAGCCACAATGAGGGAGAGAGAGAGGATTGTAGGAGGAATAAGATCTTCTACCAATAGCAAGGAAGTAGACGGAATCCGCACTGGACATAGTAGTGTTAGTGCACTTCTCAAGCTAACAGCGCCAAAGACAGTAAACAATCTCAATAGTTGACAGTGTATTTACCACAATGATTTGCTCCTATCAGTAGCTGCTAGCAAGCCGATAGATTGCCTGTAAGCTATGCTATCCAGCACAGGTATATTCATAGCGTAAGCCTCAAGTTACGCTCGTACTGATAATCTGGCACTGGCCGTGCACGAAACATTGTTGGTAACTAGCTCATAGCCGGAGAGTAGGAACCCAACTAGAGGACAGCTATTAGTGTTCGGAATATTGAGATCATGTATATAAATAGGGCGTCGGATGTAGCGGTAGTGTTGTTCTTCAGCTAATAAACTTACCTTTTGACATGTAAACGCTCAAGCTTCATATATACCGGAAGCATTATTCTAGGCAAATATTAGAGCTCCTAGACACCTGCATCGGCCTATGAGGCGTCAAAATAGGCTAAACAAAGTCAAATATAAAGTTAGTTTTGAGGGTTTAACCGGTGGCCATATACGTCAAGTGAGCTTCACCTCGGTGGTTGGGGAGGGGTGAAGGACAAAAGGCACCTCTGAGCATTTACTCGAATGTCGAGTTGTGAGGGGTGGGAATGTCGAGAGATGCTATATAAGAGGTACTGGAACCTGTCTACTATAAGCAGAGAAGACATAATCGTCTTAGATAGTTGCAGACCGAGAGCTCAAGAAAGGCAAATAAGAGTCCAATAATTACAGAAGTCTGCGACTCAGATAATTTTGGTTAGACGTCGTTGGACTGTGGCTAATTGTAAGAGTGATTGGGTACCGGCTTTGCGGCAGGTAGAGATACTTTTTGGGCGTAAATATTTGCATTTCGGCTGGAGAGTCGAGCTCTTGCCACGGTTGGCATTTATTGTACTCTTCGGATCAACTACTATCTAGCACATGGCGCTCGTCTTTGGCTCCGGCCACGCCTTGCACGGTGCTCCTATCCCCTATCGCTGCGGGTATAGACCTCTGATACATTGCGCATGAGGGATAGCCATGCGCCTCGGTCGTTACCCGTAGAATTCAGACTAGTTTTGACCGAAACCTTCTATCCGAAAAAATCTAAGAGCTAGCAATGGGAGCTGCGTGCGCGGGAAGCTTTTGGAGGAGACCTATGCCGCCAGCCGCACGAGGTGCGTATTCCCAGCCATGTCTCCCATATTTGTCACAGGAGAGGCCAACTTAATCGAATCCGCCATGGCCGCATCGGGTACTGGATGTGCTCGGAAAATACGGTGAGTGGCTTTGTCGTGACCAAGAAAAGCGAGTGGATGTTGGATGAGGATTTACCTCCAACTCGACTCTTATGCGGCTGACTCTGGGAAGCATGCGGTATCACTGATCCCTACTTCATCTCTGCACCGTAGTGATGTCACGTTTAGGCGTCGCTTAGTCGGATCGCTGGGCCATGGCCAACGGTGACTATCCAAACTCAGCCATATATCCCTATTTATTCTATTGCGCGCTCTCTGCACCGCTGCTCTATCACTGGCCTATGTTGGATGGTCTATGGCATGACTATGGAGATGCGTCAGAGCTTAGAGCTTTTCCGAGAGAATTTCAATGCAGATAATGAAAGACGTTAGGGAGTTCTGCCTTTTGAATGCCGTCATCATAAAGACGGAGGGGGACTATTCTCAACACCTGTCAGTGGTGTCCCCTACGAATCTCTGGCTCTCACTGTAGAGTCCGCAGAGCCGAGGTTGAGTATCATCTTATTAACTTTGTGCTGAGTTATCGCCCCCTCCGTCAAAGATACGCTTCCCATACCACATAAGACGACCAAGACGATGACAATGATGCTGGGAATGCGGAAAGATTATGCGGTACCAAACGCTACAACGGTATTCAGGGAAGCCCTCGTTATATTGCAACATGTGCTACCCACCGGCAGGCGAACAAAGAGCCCTCGAATGCAAAGTAAAAGACCCTTCCGCCTTCAAGAAAAGCAGATTTCGACTCGTCTACAATATCATCCCTACTAATCTATACCTCCGAATCTACTAGCCAGGAGAGCATCTGAAATACATGAGTTACCCGACGACCCCACGTCCATAACAACCTTTGGATGCTAGGCTAGGCTCCTTCACGACAGCCACTCTCACCAAGACTTTTCTGATATCCTTTCACGACCTTCGATTTGTCCTGCGGCATAAATCAGGCAAAGAGGAAGGGGGAGGCTAGGAAGGTTGAGAGACGCTCTTAGATATACACAGGTCTGCTGCGCCTGGCTGGCCGGCCTCTACGTATTAGGAGAGCCCCACACCCACTTGGTTTCGAGACTTTTCCCCGCAGCTACACACCCGCAAATGGCCATCGTTTCGTTGGCTGGAGAGGGGAGATAATGAAGGGGTAACGGCTCCCCTTAGTGTGTGCTCAAATGATGACCTGTGGGGGTATTATCGCTGGAAAAAAGTTGTGAGGGAGACAAAGGAGGGAGTACACTACCCGAGTCATAAATACTCCCAGCCTGTAGGCAGAAAGGACCTACATGTTCCTACATAGTCATAGACTTTTTAGGACTATAAACACATACACACTATATAGACGGATATTCGATCAAATATTGCACGTGGGTGATGACGAAATTTACTTTTGAATGTTATAATGAAATCTGCATACAATAGCTATATATTTTATGAATTAAAGAACCCCACTGCGTCCCAATCCTTAGACCGAAAAAGTTAGCGTGGCCCATTTGAGCTATGAGCCCTCAGACTAGGCCTATTATTACCTTTGTTTTCTAAATATTTGCTTCAGAGAAGTTAGATAACCTGTTCAAACGCTACAGGAGAATAGCCGTATCTTTGGGCTTGATCCTGATATCACTATCAAGAGGGCTCGAAGCCCATTGGTTTTTGAGACTTCGAATAAGGCATAGATAACTCTGTCCACGCGGCAACAAGGAGTAGAATTATCTTTTACGGCCATGAACTCATTAGGACAGCAAGACATCGTGTACATCCAGAGTGCCTATAAATGCCTTGCTCTTAGCAGATGATTCTGTCTATTTTTAGGGAGAAAGGCTATGTAGAATAGGTTATGAATTTTCAAGTGATTAGTGATAGTATCCGGGATGTAAGGTATCGATTTCTGCACATTGAATCGTTACACTGCGAAATAAGTACTTGGTATAACAAATAAATAAAAGAGAGGACTCTGTTTCAATAGCCTGATGACAAGATGACATCGGGGATTATAATATTAACTATACGTGCAAGACATTTCACCTAGAGTACCGAATAAAGATGTCTAGACATTTATCAATTGTTGTAGGTGCACCAAGTTCATGCAATATTGGTACTGCGCATTCATTCCAAGGATCTATTCGCTGATATCTCCCGATTTTAGAGCAATACCTTCACCCTTGTCTTAACCTTAACATCGACTTTAAGGATAAAACAAAAAACTCTGGTTCGGAGAACTAATGCCATCCTTCTATTTATCACTCAGAGAACTTCCATCTCTAATACTTCTCGCCTCGAATGTAACGAGCCAAAGAATTGTTCTGTTGGAAGTTTAGAGTGGATTATCTGACATGGTAAAACTGTTTGACCAGTTAGAGAACCAGCGTCATCGAGCCTGATACCACTTTGATTGTGTTGATGATATCGAGTTTTGAGTCGTCTAGCAAAATAATTTTACCATTCGAGGTACCTCATGCCATATCATATCTTAGTCACGAAACAGGGGCGGCTCTTAAATGGCAAGACAAGGTCTCATTACCGAGCAGCAAATATCCGTATATTTTCTTTTGCTGCTTTTGCACACGCTAGACTATATAAATGAGAGAGACCCCAGCCATCGCATAAAGACAGTTTAATTAGTAACTTGCCTTGCTCGATGTAAATATATTCTCAGCCCGTCGACTATTATCAGTGCGTGTGTTAAGCTACCGTCTGAATTATATCTTGCCTCTCAAGTCTTCAGAATATGGCGCAATAGATAGAGGGAGAACTACTTATGTTTGCACACCATAGTCTTGGGATTAGTCGGTCCTTTACAGGTGGGCCGATCATTAGAGTAACTTCTCGTAGAACTTTAGGTTAGCTTTAAATACCGTTAGTCATTTATGCTGCCGAATCCGAGAATTTGAATGCTTCAAGTCTGAATTTCCCGCGGAAAGGTTGCTCTTACACTCGTGCCTGATGCCGTTAGAGGTTTGCATAGATTTAGCAAGAGGTATTCTTCATCTAGATGAGGACCTATAACTTCGGCGTGAGTGACAAATCTAAGCACTAATTGCGTCTGCGGCTACCATCATCAAAATAAGCCTACTGAGGACTAGCTTTGGGACTGCAGCATGGTTTTCCCTGACAATTCTCGACACACTCTATTAAGCAGGTATTATCGTCAAGGAGACATGCAACCTGTCCGTCATACCCACCTAGCCCGATTATTTTGCTCCGATCTGGGCCGTGAGCATGTTCCTGAACGAGGCAAAACTCAGGCTGGATAGTAGCACTGTGGATACCGTAGGCATGTAAACATATTCGAACTGCTCGAGCTATATCCATGTACTTTTGTTCTGAAGTCTCACTGATAGAGAAATCAAGCTGTATGTGCATTGATGCTACTATTTGAGTATCGCTCAACTGCCATATGTGAATATGATGGCATCCAACAACACCCGGTAACGCTTGGATATCATCTTTGATGTCATGAACTTCTATATGATCTGGGGTCGCCTGAAGAAGTATTTTGGCTGTTGCTATAGTCAAAGGGATAGTCGATCGCAGGATAATGAGGGTGATGAAGAGAGAGACAGCTGGGTCGGCAAAATAGCGTCCCGGATAGTCTGTCAGCCAGATAACCAGGGCTGAAATGATTACTCCAACATTACCCAGAGCGTCACCAATAACATGTAGAACAATGGCGTTCATTCCAAGGTCATGGTGGTGATGAGAACCTTTCTTGGATTGCTTGGGTAGTCGGTGTTTATGCCCATGATGCCAGGAATCTTGACCTCTATGTTTACCGTGATTCCTAGGATTATTTTCTGTTGAGTTTTGGAGTAAAGGACGGGTTTCAGCTACTTGGGTCTCTTCCTCGTCATCAGATGATATGCTCGCATCACTCGATGTCCCATCAAGTAAAGGACGGCTAGCTGCAATGATATTTCGTCGAAAACTAGCAGGATGAATGACGAAGTCACCCTGTTTTGATCGACTCCCTTTTGAAATGCTGTTACTCTTTTGGTGCTGGTGGGTAGATAATAGACCCTCTACCGATGGTTCATCTTCTTTCTTAGAGGGGTACGGACGCGAGCCAAACGTGAGATTTGGATCAGGAAGCTCTCCATGGCATCCAAGGGCGTGTTTTGTATCAAGGGGTTGTGTACGACTTGCAGGCTTTAAATTAACCTCCTCGTTTGTTGTGTTGAAGTTACCATCGTGTGCATGGGAATTTCCAGCTGACTCTGTGTCGTGGGCATGATCATCCTCCTTGTGACCATGAGAGTGACCATGCGATCCCAAGATGAAAAAGCCAACAATGTTGGAGGCAAGTCCAAGGCAGCCTACAATTAGAATGAGTTTAGGACTTTGGATTTCCGGAGGGTTGACTAGTCGGGGTAGTGCTTCGAGTACAATTGACAGACAGAGGGCTATTAGGAAAACGGCGTTGAAAAATGCGCCCAGTATTTCGGCTCGAAGATACTGAGTAGTGTTAGTGACTTGAACTTTGGTTTTGAAGGAGGCACGCGCCCCAAATGTATACTTGTCAGTGGATGATTTTTGTGCGACCAATACAGCCCACAAACCTACTGCGAGGGAAATCACGTCGTTCAGCTGAGGTACAAGAGATAGTCAGTCGACGCTCATGCTGTTAGACGATGAGACAACGCACCATGTGGAAAGCATCGGCTACCAACGCCAATGAGCCGACGGCAACACCGATAGCCATCTCAACTATTAGAAATAAGATGTCAATGGATAACATGATGATGATACGGGTTGACTTTGACCACGCCATTTTTTTAGTAGCAAGGTGAATTGGGTGAGAGTATTTCCTAGTTGTCACCGGCTAAAATTGATGGAAAGGTCTGGTGTGCGTCGCGCTTATGTGCGAAATATTAGACCCACTGACTTTGACCATGTTAAAGCCTTGGCCAACAGTGGGATGAGAGGCAGTGGCGTTTATTGGGGAGAGTCTTGACAAAGTTTAGGCTGTGGCTTGGTTAGGAAGGACGACACGATGGAGGTGAAGAAGAAGCGGCCTGGGTAGGATAGGGCCAAAAGTATGTATCCACTGAGACCTTGCTCTTAGGGAACCGGGGATGCGAAAAATATCTACTCCTACGAAGGCCGTGATGGTAGTCTATTGTGAGCTCACTACGGAACAAACGCTACATTCGGGGGGGGAATAGAGAGAGCCATGTATGATGACTGAGTCTTTCTTAGACCCCAAGGCGTCGTCGACGGGGCTAGTACTCTTGTTGATTGCAGTACAATGAGGCCTTGACCGCGCAATACGAGACCAGTCAACGCGACAGAACTGCTCATATCACGTGATAACAATAGGCAATAAGCGTGGGAAAGTGCTAAACTCGTTGTATAGGATGGATCGACCGGCGTAGGTTGTTTAATAAACGATGGAGTGCTCTGAAGGATGTGGAGGGTGTTCAACATTCTCCCCGCGTGGGGCCCTGCCGATATGCCATCATGCACGTCTAGAAGTCGGTATCGACACTACGACTTCGGCCGCTAATATGCTTGGCAAGCTTTTTATGTTTTTTTTTCACACAAATGCTATCGCACGAATTATTTTCTACGCTGTAACACGGCATGGATCAGACAGACGTTGCCCTCCGGTTTGTAGCTGGGAGGGGCGCCGGCAGAGCGGGTAGCCTCGCCGCCTGCGCTAGCCGGGACAATTGCCATAGCCCCCGCGGAGGAGAGAGCGATAAGATGACACTCAGCATTTCGTGGGAATGCCTTTGAACCTCCCGGCATTGTCTTGGACTCTTATCAACCATTACAATCTTCTCGTGCTACCTTTGTGTTGTAAGGGACCGATCCTGAGCATGACATCATCGCACGTCTTGCGCAGTCTAGTCGCTGCTTATCTAGTCACAAGTTTCATTGGCACAAGTCGGATGAATTCTTTCTGTTCACTATCATTTTCAGACCTATTACTGGCAACTTAACAAATATACTGTACAAAACTACCCGACACGTCAGGGCGATTTTTACAAGGTATGTCAAGCGTGAAACAAAAGCCTACTGGCAACTTAATTTCAAGCATTAGCGCATATGACGGGGCCAAGGCGCCTATTCCACGGTATTTGTGCTTTGAAGGAGCCCCTGCATTTCAAGCCCTGGCACGCTCAGCGCAGTCATGTGTGGTCGAAGACCCTGGGCCACCAGTAGCTCCACAATATTGTGGTTTGGGCCAGTCGCCCAGCAATCTTAAGCTCGTCGTGCCTAATCCTAGGAGCCCGGCTATCGGAAGACACTTCTCACAGAAGACCCTCTATCCTGTCATCCCCGAAATGGATGTGTTGGAGAGCAGTCTAGAGCTCTGTTGTTCCAAATCCACTCGTACTGAGCCCTCCGTGGCATCCGGCAACGAGCTGTCGTACTAGAGAGACAAATGATTCCTTGGGGGCTTATGAAGTATGTAATGGGATACAATTCTTCTCGGCTCGCTACTTCAACGAATCACGGTACGCTAGCTGAACAGCGAGAAGATAGCTGTCGTGTTCCTCAGACTATTAGGAATGGTGAAACGCCAGGCTGCCTTGTGCGCAACATTGATATGCCCCGGCCCTCCGCGAGCGTTGATGTACGAGATAGATGGTATGAAAGCCTCGATACGAATACGAAATCGTCGACACCAACTGTGGGGATTTTACCAAGTCAAATGACTATCAAGCTCTGCGGGTTGGGATAGCCTGGCATTTAAGCCTATACGGAAGATGGTGGATGGGCCACAATCCACACGTCATCGCGCGCCTTGCTAGAGAGACATGTGAGACAGGCACATTCTGACGGCGAAGGGACTAACTGATATCTCTAGCTTACTTTACTTTCCAGAAGAAAATGCATGTATCGACAAATAACTTGATAAAAGCACCAACGGGACACATTGAGGCGGGAGTGTTCGTAATGATTAAATGGTGGAGGTGCTAATAAGATAAGAATTTTTATTATAGTCCCTTCTGAGTCTAAGACTATGAAGGACTTCTAGAATCTACCAACTAAATTCTGGCTACTATTCCAATGTTGAAATGAGGTTATTTAATGTTTTCCAATAGATGTTGAGGTTTATGCCCTGCGGAGGTACTAATGAATAGCCAAGATATTAGAGAAGTGCCCTCGTCTGCTTCATAAATCTGTTGGACTTTCAGAATAGGTGAAGCCTATTCTGAATTAGTTGTTTCTGCTGGGATTCTACGTCCTGCTACAGCTTGGCGGGGAGACTACAGGGAGAGATGAACATCATCAATTTTCTTTTAATAAATGACTACTACTGGTAAGCCGTAACTCCGATACACCATGGGCTAACCTTGCTTATGTATCCTAGATTCTGTAAATTTCCTCATTCAATCCTAGCAGATAATGCTCATTGCGCGCGAATGGCTTCCGAACGATTCCACTCAAGACACTCGAGGCCAGCATCACCGCCATTATCTTCTTTCCTGACTATGCACATTCAATATCACCGATAGCTATCGAAGGTAAGGCCGAGTTTGTCACCTTCCAGCTGTGCTGGTTTGAACGTTCAGTAAGCTCTGCATATCTCGGATAGCCAAGAAGAATTGAATCCGAACCGAAATCGAAAGATATCTTAAGCATATCTAAAATCGATAGCTTTTCATCAATGTCGGACCTATCTATCTCATGCAAGTCCTTCAGCTTACTCATACCGCAGTTCAGCTCGCGTCGACGACTGATTAAGTAGTCATACCAGTTGCGAACGAGAATTTGCTTCATTAAACATCGGCCATCTCCCATTACAAAATTACGATGCTATGTATACCCACGAGGAGGAAACAAAGTCGTAAAATATAAAGCTCGGGTTTGGTCTTTGGGAGAACGTTGTCCTAAAGGGGTCTCCCACTTTTCGAATGTTTTCGGCTCTGGGTACTTGTGGACATCGAGGCCACGATTTCGGATAGTGCCAGCGACACTTTTCTACAAGGCAACGATGTAAGGTGTTTTGGTCCACCTCCTGTTCGTCATCTCCTCGGATTAAAGTCTGGGTAGCCTGAACGCCTGCCCCTCTCGAGAGAGGAAGGACTGCGAGGCCATATATCGTGTGGCGGCTATATACAAGATGGCAAAGGCACGTTAGGGTAGTCAAAGGTTTTTCCTCTTTCCCTTTGGTTGATATGAACGGCTGAGTGAAGAATGAGAGTCCCTAGCACAAAGACACGAGTGGTCCTAATGTTAAATTGAGTTACCCTCGCATATAGCTGTTTGGCAAGGACTAGCCTTTTACCCGTCACAAGTAAAAATCTATCTATAACTACGAGAGACCAGTAGTCCCCCATAGTTGCGGGTTTTGGTTGGTCATTCTATGACCAAATATGTTTTCAAATAGGTTTCTCGCGGCTCTCACTTGTAAGAAAAAAATGTGAGTAGAGCTTGAGACTAAAAATACGTGATTGAATTGAATTCATTTCATTTGTTCCGTTCAGGTACCCTGTGAGTCCAAGAGGGTCAATATAGCTATGTTGTTTAGATAGGAGGAAATCATTTTGATCAATCCTCCCTGATTCTATCTATCTGGACTATCAGATTCCTAGGTTATCCTTAAGGAAGTGCATTTACACTGTTCATCAAGTGTAAATTCTGTCCTATACTTTTCCCGATCGCTTCGTCCTTTTATTGACTGCCATCTCAGCTTCTTCTGCACATCGGAACGGTTCAAACCAGTCTTTAGTAAGTATCCACTTTGTATTTATCTCCATATCATCCGGGCCAATCATCGTGGCTTCATAGGACCTATCTATTGACTGTCGCAGCACCTCTCCTCTTCTCCTATCCCACTGATGACGAGCCAAGACCATATGTTCGACGTTTTGTCACCGATATCCACGCTAGCATTTTGTACTTGTCACTCCAGGAACATTTCTTTGTGTAGAAAAGAGTTGAGGCCAATATGCTCACTTCTCATCTGTATTGCAGTCCTGATATCCCGTGGTTGGTCATTATCTTGTACAGGTTCATCAACTGATTTTGATATTCCCCCGCACCACGTGAACCAATCAGCCGCGCACAATCTGCGGGATCTGGTTTCCATCAACTGGGATTCAGATGGTCATCGACTCATATAGCAGTATGATACAATGCTACGGGGGTAGCCCGGTGTTAGTTGGCTGGACTGTCTTACGGGCCCAGCCTTGCATGTAAGTGGGATGTAGCATATGGGTCTGGCTCTTGCACCAGCTTAGACGCTTAGTACGTTTTTATATACTGTGGTCATCAACATGCACTCTACATTGGCTACGTCCCAACGAATATATTTTTTTTTGATCATTTAATGTGTTTGCATGCTATAATTTAGAATAATTGGGGCTATCAAGTAGGCCATGTTGTTGGTACACAAGTGACTAAAAATAATGTACTTAGTTTCACTTTGGTAGTTATTTGAAACAATGCGCCCCACAATCTCAATGACTGGGGGGTCATTATTTTCTTAATAATGCAGCTATAAAGTTATTAAACGTGACCGGTGTTATGTTTACATGTGGGATGACTCTTTTGACGTTAGAGACACTCACACTCTGGATTTCATTCGCAAATACCACTATGAGGTATGCTTAATTACACAAACAGTCGACCCTCCTCCGTAAGTAACCACCAAAGGGGCGTTTCAAAATCTTTGGTTATCCAAGCATGCCTTCGTCATCCATCCATACCAGCGCCGCGAGAAAAGTGGTTGTGTTTTGCCGGATTTGAGTCAGCGATCTACTGTCTCGAGTGGGATATGTGTCCAAGCTATCCAGACCTTACCTGGAAGAACGG